ATCAAAAACACCTTAGATGTGAAAAAAGGTGCGGCCAAAATAAGATTGAGTGTGCGAGGAATGAAATCAAAACTGGCAGCTACACTTATAGCATTAATAAGAATTTTACAGTAAATATTCAGTCATCAGTTAGCCAGGCCGAGTTTTTTTGTTCAACATGGGGCATGATGGTTGGTGAAACAAAATACGCGAAAATATACACCCTTTCTTGCACCAGGGCTGAAAATCCCAATCTTTTTCCGGATTGCGACTCATAAACCGTACTCGTATTCTATTTGTTCGTCAAAATTATTCAAAAAGTTAACTACTTTAAAATACTAGAAAGTATTGCTCAAACTGATTTTTATCAAGCATTCAGCAACAGACTTTACGCTCTACCCTTCCACATTTCCATTTAATTGGTTTATATATTCCCAGGATATACAAGGCAAACAAGAGTGCGTTGAAGTGCATGCAGTGGAAATGGGATTTAAACAACTGAGGTAAGTTAGGACTGTATGCTTATATGACCAACTTTATATCGAAATATAATTGTTGATGAAAATGTAGTCACAGTCTGAAAATAAGTTCTTTTCCGGGACTGAGAATGCGAAAAACCCGACCCTTCCCCAGCCTAGCAATCAGAAAAAACACAATCATATCCTTTTCTTGGACTGTGCAAAGTATCTACGCATATATAAACGTTCAAAAACTTTGACACATTCTGTGACAATGTCTATCAGTGTCATGAAAAATAAACATATACAATTATTTTTCTTTCTAAAGCTATGATGAAGCGAGATTCAATTTTTTTCCAACTTGATTGAAGCTTTTATCCAATGTGAAACAATACTTTACAACATAAAACCGTTGAAGCATTAAAATATTCATTTTCTAAACCGCTAATATTTATTTCATTTTTAGATCACGTTCTCAGAGTTCATGTATTATGATAATTTTCTAAAGCTCTGAACCATATAGTTTTCCGAGACTATGCGATGTCTCCTAAAAAAACTGCTTTAGTTTAATAAAGTAAACTGACTTTTGTTATACCGGCAGGATAGAGTTCAGTAATATGGACCGTATAAACTTCCGCTACGTGCATGGAATAAATTCCCGCTATGATGGAAGGGTAAGTATCAGCTATATTGACAGGTAAAATGTGAGCAAAGTGGGTAGGGTAAATTTTAGCAACATAGGCAGGATTGACCCATGTATAAATACAATAAACCTCACTCCACTAGATAGAGCTAGTTCCTGTATAAATAAACTTCAGTCCACTAGATAGAGCTGGCTCCTGTATAGATAATCTTCAGTCCACTATACAGAGTTGGTTCCGGAATAAATAAAGTTTAGTTCACTAGACAGGACGGGCTCCT